TCCTGGTGTCACGTCTGTGCATGGTCAGCACAGCACTCAGACTGTTAGCAGAGACTGTGACCATGAAGAAATGCCTTTGCCCAACTCTGTGTCTCTCCTTCCTTCTCTCACTTCTCACTTTAACATTTTTAAAAGGTTCTCAGTCTTTCCTGTGGAAAATTTCTTCCCATTTTCTCTTCCCATTTTCCAGAATGAGCAGAAGCCACTGATCACCTGATGAGCCCCAGGTTGTTGACACTTTTCCCTGCCCCTGTGCTGAGCAGTGTGGGAGAGCTGAAATGCTGCTAGTTTTAGCTGCAGGGTTGTTCCTTGCAGTGAATTGCAGAGCAGTGTTAGCTCCCCTGGGTCCTTGGTGTGCGCTGCCACTTGCCTTTGTTTGGCCAAGTTAACATAACTTGGGATCTCTCAAGAACTGATTGTTGGGTCCACCTCAGAAAGAGAGCAAGTCTTCTGTTGGAGGGTGTGTTTTAGAAACTGAAGGGTTCTTTTTCCATAGAACGTGGAGAAATACTACTCTGAAAATCAACAGCTGCTGTTTCCAGGTGCTCACATGGTCACCCTCTCTGCACCGTCAGCAAGTCTGCACTGTCATGTCAGCACTGCTTTACCCCTGTGGATGAGAAGAAACTGGGGTTATTCCAGTGTACTTTTGTGTATCTGTATCAGTAAAAGCAAAACCAAGAAGTGGCCTAGATGAGAAAGTAGTTCTTAGGCCCATTCTCTTGCAGAGTTAGTTGCATCACTGCCATGGTCTAACCCCATGTAGCAGCCAAACCCCTCACAGCCATGTGCTCACTCCCCACAAGTGTGGGGAATGGGAAGGGTAAAACCTAGAAAACTCCTGGGTTGAGATAGAGTTTAATAAGGAAAGCAAAAGCCACACACCCCAGCAAAACAAGGACTTCATTCCCTGTTCCCCACGAACAGGAGGTGTTCAGCATCTCTAGGAGAGCAGAGCCCTATCATGTGTAATGGTGACTTGGGAAGACAAACACCATCACTCCCCCCCTTCCTCCTTCCCCCATTTCATATACTGAGCATGATGTCACGTGGTCTGGGATAACCCTTTGGTCTGTTTGGGTCACCTGTCGCAACTGTCTCCTCCTACCTCCCATGCACACTCAGCCCATCACCAACAGTATGAAAAGCAGAAAAGGCCTTGGCTCTGTGTGAGCACTGCTCAGCAATAAAAAAAATAATCTCTATTATCATCCCTGTGTCCACAAAATCCAAAACACAGCCCCATGCCAGCCACTGGGAAGGAAATTAACTCTACCCCAGGCAAACCAGTGCAATGATTTATCGATGGACTGGAAGAGAAACATTGTGTTTCACAACAGAGCTGTGACCTGCAGCCTCTGCCTTAAGGCTTTCTGCAGCTTGGGCATCCTGGAGTAAAACTCCTGGGGTTTCCAGGTGACTCTCTTAATTGTGAGAATATGTTTTCCTGGATGCTGCCATTGATTTGGGCATCTGTACTGCTGCACAGTTTTTATGGTGTTAGAAATGTGCTCATATGAGGGGTTATCAGTCCCTCAGTGCTTTTCTCCCTGCTGTGAGCAGAGCTCTGATATTAAGCAGCGCTGCTCTGAAATTCCAAGAGCAGAGATGCAGAGATGTCTGGTACCACTGAACACCTGAGAAAGGGAAGCTGCTTGGCTTGTGTGTCAGTTAGCATTGTATGACCATAGCTTTGCATTCTGAGTCCAAATCTGTGTCGGTATTGCTGAGTGAGAGACTGTCTGTGTCCCAGCACTGAGCTCTGCAGGCAGTTCTCTAACTGTACACACAGGCTGGAGTCCTCAGAGTCCTCGTGGAATGAAGAGTCTGAAAGGCAGAGAGAATTGGGATTATTCACCTGGAGAAGAGAAGCTTCAGGGTGACCTAATGGCAGCCTTCCAATACCTGAAGGAGCTACAAGAAAGGTGGAGAGAGACTATTTACAAGGGCATGGATGGACAGGACAAGGGCGAGTGGCTTCACACTGACAGTCTATGGAAGGTCCCTTCCAATCCAAACCATTCCATGATTCGATGTTCAGCATCGAATTGTCTCCACTCTGAGTTCCATCTTTGAGGTATGCTGTTAGGATCCTAGTTCTGCACCACATACATTATGTGAAGTTACTTGAAATACTTCCTTCCAGGCATTCTTAGCTTGTGAGTAAACTGTGAGCAAAATAACAAGCAGTGGAGTGTAGCAGAAGAGAAGTGGGAAGTTATCATCTCTGTGGTATTAGTGTTGTCCCCATGGTCTGTGTTTTGGTCTGCATGGCTGGTTATTGATTAGTGAATATTGAGTGTGGGTCAGGAGCTTCTCTACCAGCTCCAGGCTGATGTGTGAATAACTGATGGCTACAACTACCAGGAGGTCTGGTGCTCTTGTAACCTCCTGTCAATAGAAGTTTATAACTTCTTTTCTTTCTAAATACTATGGTCTCTGTCTCCATTTGCTTATTGGAATTGTCTGAACCTGTTGTCTCATCAGTTCTGACCTCTGGTGACATCTGTGTCCTTGATCTGTGATACCAAAGAGCTTAGTCTTGTTTGGGGAATGTTTTTCCTGGTCCATGGTAGGAATTGGTTTTAGGTTCTGAGTGCAGCACTCGGCTTGTCACACAGCAGGTCACACAAGGTAATTTGCCCTTCCCCTCTGACTCTGGATGCCATAAAGTTTGTTCACTGTGTCAACAGACTTGAAAGGTCTCTTCCCTCAAATTACTTGGAGGTTCACCATTACTTCCTGTGCATCTCCTCTCTGCTGCAAGTGCATCTCTGCATCACAGACATGGCTCAGTCCCAGCAGACATCCCTTCCCCTCTCTGCTGTGTCATCGAGGGCCTCTGCAGGAGGAGCTTTCACTGCTCTTGTTTTCTCTACTCCTGTATCACCTCCTTTTCCCCAGCTGTGGCAGATTCTAAGCCCCATGATCCTGCCTTGACCATGCTTTCTGCTCCCTGAGTTTCTGCCCAACTGGCTGTACCAGCTTCAGGCTCATTCTTGGCAGGAGGAGCCTCAGGCTATCCCCTGCGTCATGATAGCACTGGTCTGACTGCTTCAGGGGTTGGGTTTGCAGTGTGGTGTGGGACATCTCCTGCTGAGGTCCAGCAGTGCTGCTGAGCTGGCAGTGCTGTGCAGGGGGTGATCAGTGAGCCCACGTGCTAGGCCTGCTCAGGAACCATCTGGTACTGTGCCAGCAGCTCTGTGGTGCAGGCATGGAACCACAGAACTGATGCTTTGTGAAATATGATACAAGTTTTGTGCAAATTTGGTGGGTTTGCTGTTTCCAAGATTGACCATCGAGAGGATAAGGTTCCTTGGAAAAAAAGTATTATTCTAAAATTAATCTTAGAGTTGATAAAATAGTCAGGGGACAAAGCCTGGGTTGTGTAAGTGCTATCACTGCACATGCTCTCATTTAACTTTCAAATGTTTCAGCTAAACCCACATTTAACCATTAACTCTGAACTCTGGCCTGTAAAGTCATTCCTTGTTAGGAACCTTCACTGTAAGCATGCAGAATGGGTCAGGAATTGAGCAGTTAGGAAAGGTTTTTGATTGGTTTGGGTTTAGAGCAGAGTGGTGATGGTGTTGGGGTGTTAGAGGAGAATCACTTGTCAGGAGAGTTGCCTTGCTGAGGTGTAGTGCTTGACATGCTTCGGTGATGTCAGTGCAGGGGGAGGTTACCACAGCCTGGGCAGAAGGATATGCTACTCAGAATGGGCGCAAAGGATGCAGAATTGATGGGCCACAAGGACACTTGGCAGAACTCCCCAAGATAAGGGAGAAACCAATAAAAGCCAGCTCAGCACTGTGCTGAATCAGCTCCCACAGGTGTTTCCCAATAAACCACTGAGCCAAGGGGGCAGAAACACTGAGCAGGGAACTAATGAGCATAAGGTGAGGGAATCATTAGCTAGTAGAAGATAGAATGCTAATTAATAAGAGAGCTAGGTAACGTACAGCCTTTGTTTGCTAAAATGTTGAAGTAGTGAAAAGTTTTGGTAGCTGTGTGCTGGCTCTGGGGATTTGCCCCCAAACCTTTGTGGGCAGCACTGAAATCAGTCTAGTGCCTCAGCTCTGGGTGGGGATTGGCCTCTTGCACACCAAGGGAAAGAACCTGTTTGGAGACAGCAGTGAGGTGGAGGCTCCTTCTGAGCTGCATTGTCACACACATCTGGGGAGGAATTCCCCTGGACTGTCCTTGGAGTAAAGCCTGGAGTTGCTGCATGGAGGCGACAGTTCAGTTGTTTCCCCTGACTCTGCTCTCAGCTCACTGGTTTTACAGTGCAGTGTGACTCTTCCTGGTCCATGGTGAACTTTGTCTCTTTTACTTGTCCTCTGAGTGAATTCTGTAAGGAAACTCCCCTCTTCCCTTTACTCCTTCAGTGAGCACAAGAAGAGAAAGGAGCAAATCTGCTGAAACCTCTGTGACAGATCTCATTTTCAAGCCTGCTTGGTGTTGTGTTTGATCACATTACTGAAAAATAAAGCTTTGTCTCCCTTCTAATTTACAGCTCTCAGAGAAAGATAAACCTTATGTGGATATCCAGGGCTTGACAGCTTCCACCATGGAAATCCTGCTGGACTTTGTGTACACAGAAACTGTGCATGTGACAGTAGAGAATGTCCAAGAATTGCTCCCAGCAGCCTGTCTGCTTCAGCTGAAAGGTAATTCAAGGATCAGCACAAACTGCACCATTGCTGCTGTGGAGAGATTTGGTTTGTCTGACCCTCAGTGGATGGAAGAGAGATTTGGGGGGGTGATATTTACAAGTAGTTATGTCAAACTTCTGTTGTCTTGTGCTCTGTGGTCTCGTTGGTAGAGGGACTGACTTGAGTGGAAAAATGATGATAAAAGAGGTCATTGTTCCATGCTTTGGGCTACTGTATTTCTGCAGGAGTATTCCCAAGAGGAATTGTGGGCTGTATAGTGCATAAATGTTAGAGCTCAGCCAACTTATAATAAGCAAATTCTAGATGCCATTTGACCTGCCAGTACAGTATGTTTGGGTGGGTACCAGCCTGGTTGGTGTCATTGCATGTGCACCTATGGAGCTATCTCAGGCAGTTATCCCAAATCCCAGGCAACTCTCCAAAAGTTACAATAGAAAACCTAGAAATCTGGTAGCCATCTCCACATTTGTGGTTTGCAGTCCATGAAGCTGAGTACAGCTCACACTGGAGTCTTTTCCTAGTACCAGATTGATGTCATTTTTTTCATTGAAGTGGAGCAGCCAGAGCCCAGGGCAGCCCAGACACATGGTGTGGCTGCTGGGTGTCTTCACAGCCTCCACAGCCACACTTGCATGTGTGTGTTTGTGTAGTATCTTTACTTGTTGTGTGAGTTGGATTTTCATTGTGTTTAGAACCTTCCCTTTGAAGCCCTACCCAGAGCAGTGACTGACAGTAGAGCAGTGCTCATTCACCCCTCCCATTTTCCGTAGGTGTCAAACAAGCTTGCTGTGAGTTTCTAGAAAGCCAACTGGATCCATCAAATTGTTTGGGCATTCGGGATTTTGCTGAGACACACAATTGTGTGGATCTAATGCAAGCTGCAGAGGTCTTCAGCCAGAAACATTTTCCAGAAGTGGTTCAGCATGAAGAGTTTATCCTCTTAAATCAAGAAGAGGTTGAAAAGCTCATCAAGTGTGATGAAATTCAGGTAAAACCTGAAAAGTATCATTCCTGTGCAAAGCATTGTAGTGGAACATGGAAAGCAGTCAGAAATAAGTCCATCCTGTGCACTTCTCACACAGTTCTGAATCTGGAATTGAATTTTCAAGAAGCTTCTAAATTTTTTGCTGATTTGTATTTCGATCAATACCTTGTAGCTTCTCTGTAAGAATTTGCTGTCACATAAGTGTTTCCTGCAAGTCAATCCAGTGAGTTCCCTCTGCAGAGTCCTTTGTCTCCTCCTTTCCCTGGAGAAGACAAGCTGTATCAATGCCTACATTTCAGACATACCCCAAGGCTAACTTTTATTTGCCTGTTTGCTGCTGCTCAGCAGCACAAAAAGTGCATCCCCAGGATGGTGCAGGGTGGTCTGACTGAGTTACAGGCAGATTTGGTACCCTTGATGGGTTTCTGCAGGGTTTGCTCTTTGGCTGGAACATGCCAAAAAGATTTTTCCAACTTCTCTATGAATAAGTTGATCATTCCCTGGTAATGAGGATGGCCTTGATTAGTTATTGAGGTGGGTTTTGTGGAGAGCTGATACTCACTGCCGTTGAGGGGATTGAAGCAATCACTATTCAGAGCTCAGGGGAACAGGAACTTTTGGAAGCAAACCAATGTGTAAGGGATAGCTTTGGGATTCCTGAAAAGTCAGTACTGGGGTAGCCAGGGGAGACTTGTTGATGTGTGCCTTGAAAGTGGTCTTCAGCCACACTGACATCCTCTTGCTAATGAGACTGTTCGAGGAAGACTGTGTGGGACAGCAGTGACTGCCCAGTGCAGGAGGCTGAGTGTGTTTGGTGTTCGACAAGCCACAGCTCAGTGCTGTGCATCGTGGTGGTACTGACAGCACCATCTGGGCAGGGAGCAAGGAATAATGAGGAACTTGAGAGTGACTGAGCCAGGCTTATCAGATGGTCTGCACAGGGAACAACATTCCTTGTGGGCTGGAAGGGCTGGTTCAGGCCTTGCAGGAGTGTGCATGTCCTGTCACACCGTAACACATGACCAGCGGAGCAAGGGAGGGGATTCTCCCCCTCTTCTCTGTCCTTGAGACCTTGCCTGGAGCACTCTGTCCCGGACTGGGGTCCTCAGTGCTGTTAGAGCGAGTCCAGAGGAGGCCATGGAGATGCTCTGAGGGCTGGAGCCTCTCTGCTCTGGAGCCAGGCTGAGAGAGCTGGGGGTGTCCAGCCTGGAGAAGAGAAGCTCCAGGGAGGCCTTAGAGCCCCATCCAGTGGCTAAGGGGCTTATAAAAAGGAGGAAGAGTGACTTTTGGCATGGGATACTGATAGGACAATGGGTAATGGTTTTAAAGTAAAAGAGGAAAGATTTAGACTAGATGTTGGGAAGAAATTCTTCCTTGTAAGTGTGGTGAGGCACTGGCACAGATTGCCCAGAGCAGCTGAGGCTGCTCCATCCCTGAGAGTGTTCCAGGCTGGGTTGGACAAGGCTTGGAGCAACCTGGGCTGGTGGAAGGTGTCCCTGCCCATGGCAGGGGGTGGGATGAGATGAGCTTAAGGTGTATTCCAATCCAAACCATTCTGGGATAAGGCAAAGAGACCAAATCTCTCTCTTGCTGTGCCAGGTTAGAGGTGTTGTGCAGGATCAGAGGGTGCAAGGGAGCCCCCTTGGAAAATCCCTGGGCTGTTGGAGGGCACAATGGCAGGTCCTCCCTGTGGTGCTATGGTTAGTGTTACTCATTGCTTATCAGAAAACAGAAATTGATTTCATGAACAACAAAGCTGTTAGATATACCTGAGTACATTCAGTTCAGGAGGGATTAAATTGATGCAGGATTATTGCATTTAAGGAGGGGGTGAGGAAATTGGAAACAATACAGTACTCTGCTCTCCTGTGAGCTCTGATTATCCTTTCCCTGTAATTCCAGTAGAAAGAGGCCATTCCAAATCACACTGTAGCAAATATAAATCAATGGCTTGGAAGAATGGCCTTATGTAATTAACCTCTGTGGCTCCCTACTTCAGAGCAGTTTGCACAGACAGCTTCAAAGGGACCAGGCAGAGACTGGTGGGAAGGCTCAATCACAGGATCTCCTTTAGCTTCATATTTAATCTCAGTTAACAGACCTTGTGATAATAAATGTCTGATGATCTGGTAGACATGCAAAAAGAAAACCAAGCCTAGATGATATATTGTAGAGATTTTTCCAATTCTTTTGCTTTTGGTAATCACAGATGTCAAAAGCACCTGAGGCTCTCTAACAGTATCATAATTTGATAGATTAGTCAGTGCCATCTCTGGAGGGGGTGTAAGCACCAGTGTGTGCTGGTCCTAAAGTGAGACAGAAACAAGCTAGTGATTAAATAAACATTCATGCCCTGTGGTTCTCCACTCTGAAATCCACTTGTTTCTTACATGTGAATGGAAATAAAACAAACCCCTCAAATGTCCCAGGTGTGGCTGGGGTGTTCCATGGGCAGTGCATGGACACAGGGCTGCTGAGGCTGAGCCAGACACTGCTCCATGCAAAGGGAATGTGATTCTGATCATCTCCATGATGACAGTTTGCATTTTGCAGGATCACAGCTCCTGCCCTGCTGAGAATCTAGGGAGCTGCCCTGTGAGTTCCTGTGGTCAGTGACTGGTGGCTCCTGGCTCTGGACTCTGCTCCCCATCACACTGCTCACTCATGGCATTCACACTGCCCACTGGTGATCTCAGCTGTAAGGAAAACACAGATGTAGTTTTAAGTAAAAGAAAATGAGGGAATTGCGTCATGGTTGTAACTACAGCCCATGGGAGTTTCCCAAACACTCTTAGCTGGAGTGTCCTGCTCCCTTGCCCGTTGTGAAGCAGTGTCGGCAGCCTGGACCTTGTCTGCTCCATGGCAGCAGCTCCAAAGTTCTCCTGCAGTCTGACCAGGATGTGCCTCTTTGCAGGTAGACTCTGAGGAACCAGTGTTTGAGGCAGTTATCAACTGGGTGAAGCACTCGAAGAAGGACCGAGAGGCATCACTGCCAGAGCTGCTGCAGTACGTGCGAATGCCCCTGCTCACCCCCCGCTACATCACCGACGTCATCGACACCGAGGTACCTCCCAGGGCAGGGCCTGGCAGTCACTGCATGTCCCTGCTTGGGCTCCTGCTGTCCACACAGCATGTTCAGAGCTCTTTCTCTGCTAATGCTGTTTGATGGTGGCACTCTGGAGCTGTGCCTGCTGAGACACAGAGCCAGTGTCACACTGAGCAGGGGTTTGCAGTGCCAGCAGTCACAGCACCCTGCCCTGTCACACTGAGCAGGGGTTTGCAGTGCCAGCAGTCACAGCACCCTGCCCTGTCGCACTGAGCAGGGGTTTGCAGTGCCAGCTGTCACAGTATCCTGCCCTACAGCTGGAGTGTGCCCTGTCCAGAGCCATTACTCAGCTGTCTGCTCTCATATATGCAGCACCTTTCTGTTGTCATCCATTGTAGTCTCTAACAAGTACTTTCTGCCTTCATTCCCAAGTGCTGTCAGGTCCCCTTCCTTCAGCTGAAGGCTGCTGGCATTGATCCCAGGGAGGACATGGCTCCTCAGAAGGTGTCAGAGGTGCAGATGGCCAGCATGTACCTCTGAGTGGGGAGGACAGCAGCTGTGTGGGTCCAGGACCAGCACACAGCCAAGAGCCATGGCTAACACTGCTGTTTGTGTGCTGGGGTGCTGCAAAGGCAACCCAAAATGGAGCTGCTGATGAGATAATTAAGCTTTTCAGTGGAAGTTTCATTCCAAACAGGAAGTGATGCTGACTCCAGGCAAGGTTTGACAGGAAGGCACAGACGTTCAAAATTGCCTTCTGGTTAGATGGTAATGGGAGAGGTGTTCAGTGGTACTAGCCCATGTCACCTGACGCGTGCTGAATAGTGACTGGCAGACGTTTCTCTGTGTGGAGAAAGGCTGGTTTAGCACAGTCACCTCGGATGTGATTGTGCTAAACTGTCATATGGATCATGGATGTTCTTAAATCAGGTTGTTCTAGAGCTTAAGCGTGTTCAGTCAGGTTGTCGTGGTCTGCTTCAGGCTAATGGAGAAGGGGCTGGTACCCAAACCTTTACATCTGTTCCAGCTCCAGCCTGAGGCAGGGTGTGCACAAGCCTTCAACTCTCTCATGCACTGAGAGGACTCTCCAGCCTGACAGTATCACACACTGGTGAGACATGCTCAGCTCAGGGCAGTGTGGAGAGTGCAGGGTTGGCCCTGTGTGGGCCCTGAATACCCTGGCTGCTGTGCACAAAGATCAAGAACCTGTAAAAGTAAACCTGAACTTGCTGCAGTAGCACATGCACCAAACAGAGCATTCAGGGGAGGCTGGTCCTGGCCCTCAGCCAGGGAGGGGAATTACAGGGCATTATGCAAGGAGATGAGGCTGTCCTTGGGTGAAGTGCCCCCACTTTTCAACAAGACCTCACTGTTTCTGTTGCCTCTCCACAGCTCCATGTGCACAGGGATCAGGCTAATAGATCAGCTAAACTGCTTCATGGTGCTGTGCTGTGCTCCCCATTGTTCTCCCATGGTAGGTGCAGGCTCAGTTATGTGGGGCAGGTCGAGCCAAACTGGTTTCAAGTGTGATTTCACTGCCATCCCCGTTCCCAGACATGCTTCTGCTGGCTTAAATGGAGCAGAAGTGGCTTTTCCTTAGTTTCCCAATACAGTTATGTTCCCTATGGAAGCTGCACTGCCAGACTGAGAATGGGGCTGTTTATCACTCACACTGGCCTGCAGCTGCCTTTGCATTTCCCTGCATGCAGCGTTTGCACCACGACACTGCAGCCTGCATTCAGGTCTTCTCTGCTGTCTGAGCTGATGAGAGTTGGCTTTAGGACAGTTCTTCTGAGGTTTCTTAAAATACATTGCATGTAGCAGTGACTCATGTTTCTCCCCAGCCTTTCATCCGCTGCAGCCTGCAGTGCAGAGACCTCGTAGATGAAGCCAAGAAATTCCACCTTCGGCCTGAGCTCCGGAGCCAGATGCAAGGACCCAGGACACGAGCACGGCTGGGTGAGCGGCAGAGGGAAGGACAGAGGGGCTGGGGCACTGCAGCTGTTGTGTTATCCACCTTGTCTAGTGCCTTGCAGTTGTGCTGATGTGCTCCACAGCTTTAACTTGTCACCCCATGGTGCCCAGTGAGACACAGAGGGGCCCACAGCAAAGGACACAGGTGCCTTTTTCTCAGAGCACATTTGCTCACTACCAGTGTGGGAGTAGTTGGTTGCTGTAACCGTAAGACCAGTTTCCTGAGTTGCTGGTGCCTCCAGATGTATGGCCCAGTATGCAGCTGTCCTACAAGTGTGGGAAGAGTGTCCTCCTGTCTGAAAAGGCAGGTATCAGTGTCAGAGCTGTGAGGTGAGAGACAGCTGTCTTACAGTGACAGCAAGTTTCCACAGAGCATGTGGGAGGGGAAGGCACAAGTTGGGAGATGGAGAGATCCAGCTCTCCATTCAAAGGTATCTTTTTTTTTTTTTACTCCCTAGTCTTGATAAGGCAAATAAAAGGTGATTACTTCCTTTATTTGAGTAGCTCCTACCAAGCACGGTCGCTAAATTGTTGTGAAAGTGCTTGGCTTAGGGCTGTAAGCACTTGAGAGCAACACAGATGGGAGGGAGGAGCTACAAAAGAAGGAAAGTATTTTACTGGGTTCTCCATGACTGGCTGCTCCTCACCTGACACCCTGCTCCTGTCTCCAAACTCGCTGTCAGACTGCCTGTGCCTGTATCCCAGTGCACTCACAGGGCACTGCCATCGGTGCCAGCATGGACCATTCTTCCTGTGGGGAACTCTCCCTGTGTGTTCTCCAGTCCTGCTGTGGCTTTTGGGGACCTCAGAAACCCGTTGTGGCCTGTTTTGGGGGACAGAAAGCAGTTGAACCACAAAAGCAGGAGGAAAATGAGGTTTGTCATAGACACATAGATCAAACTTTTCTGGCCTGAAGGATGTTGTTTTGCTGTGGTTTGACCTCCAGCATGGTCCAGGCCACAGCATGTTTTTGTGGGATTTCTTACACCATTCCAATGACCTGCACTTCAGCTCAGCCTGTCATTTGCATCAGCTTTCCAGTATCTGAAAGGCCTACAAGGGAACTGTAGTAATAGGACAAGGGTGAGTGGGTTCAAAGTGACAGAGCTTTTAGGTTAGATTTACAGAAGAAACTGCTCCCTATGAGGGTGCTGAGGCACTGGCACAGATTGCCCAGAGAAGCTGTGACTGCCCCATCCCCGGGAGTGTGCCAGGCCAGGCTGGATGGGGCTTGGAACAACCTGGGCTAGTGGAAGGTCTCCCTGCACATGCAGGAGGTGGAACTGCATGAGCTTCAAGGTCCTTCCAACACAAACCATTCTGAGATTCAGTGATTTTAGAAAGACACATTTCATTTTGTTCTTAGTTGAAATGCTTCACCTGATAAAGGAGACATCACAAAAACTATTTTATTGTTAATTGTACAGGTTAGAACTGCACTTTATTGCTAAGGTGGATTCAGCCCTGCCTGCTTTAAGTGACTCCATGCCATCTGCTGTCAGCAGTGTTCCTGAGTGTCACTTACAAACTGTGATCAAGTTGTGCATTAACTTTGTATGGGAGGAACTGAAGTGGTTGCACTTGTAGCTGTCTTACAGGACAGGAAACTTTCCAAGGGGTTGGTGGAGATCTTTTTGTTTCTCTTAATGACTTTTTGTATTATTCTTCATCTGAGGCAGCAGCTCCTTTGCTTTGTGACAGACAGACAGGGTCTTGTTAGATGTTTGTTGCTTGGTGCTCAGTCCTTCTGCAGTGAAATAGGACAGTCCTAAACTCCCTGTTCCAGAAAGGGCCCAAGGGCTCCGGGGGATGCTCAGCTGTGCTAAACCTGAGCCAGGAGCTTGCTTCAAGGCAGTGAGTGCAGGGGAAGTTACAGCTCTCCAGGTCACAACTGTTGTTTAACAGTTATGGAGGAAATAAGGTAAGTTCAGGGACCATCTGAGAGAAAAGCAAGTAGAGGGAAGGCAACTTTGAAATAAAGTACCTAAGATTTAAGGGACAGTCCCTGGGAAAGTACTTCATTGTTTTCCAAGCTCCTGACAGCCTGACTTGTTTCTCAGGTGGTGAGCAAAGTCCCCTAAGTCAGGTCTAGATGTCATTGGCAACCAAGGAGAGGCCTTGTGTAGTGAGGAGGCTGCAGGGAAGCAGTCTTCCTCCTCCAGATGCCATGGGGTGGTGAGAGGTTTGAGAAACATGGTAGAAAGAATACAAAAGGTGATATAAAGGATCCAACTTCAGCACCTAACTGAGCCAGCTTGTCTTCTCAAAGTGCCTCTGGTGTTAGGAGGAACAGCCCTCCAGCTGCTGCTACCTCAGTCAGTCCTCCTGCTGCATGCCCTGAAGAGTTTCTGGCTCTTCTTCCCCACTGAGCACAGAGGGAATCTGAGTGCCTGGAGCCTCCATAGGTCCCTGCTCAAGAGCCTGATGAAAACAGAGATTTAGAGGCAGCTTTGCACCAGGAAGGGCTCAGTGTTTCTCCAGGTTGTTCCCCTGAGGTGACCCTTTGGTTGTGAAGGGATTGACTTGGCTTTGCTCTCCCTCTCTGCCCCAGGAGCCAACGAGGTGCTGCTGGTGATTGGTGGCTTCGGCAGTCAACAGTCGCCCATCGACGTGGTGGAGAAGTATGACCCCAAGACCCAGGAGTGGAGTTTCCTGCCAGTAAGGGAACGTTTGTGACCCACCCCTGGACTGAGCAGGCTGTGAGCAAACGCTGATCCTGCAGCATCAGCTGGATAGCAATCCTCTTTGGGCTGTCCTGTTCAATCTGCTTAAGAGTTCTGACAGAAATTCTTTATAGATTCCCATGGTGAATGCTGAAACCACTCGGGTTTGCAGTGGCTGAGTGAGCCCTGTGTGAGAGGGGGTTGTCACAGCCCTGATCAGCTGAGCCTGCAGAGACCCACATCTTGGCTGTGGGAGTGAGAACTATCATGTTTTTTAGTGAAGGGGTGTTAAGCTTTAAGGTTAGTGATGGTAATTGAAATGTCAATAAGAACAGTGTAATAAGTGCTGCTTTCAGGCTGCTGCATGATCCCACTGCTAGCAGTGTTCCAGAGTGTAATGGGGAGAGAAAATTCCTGCACCAAGGAGTATTACTACCCAAATTAAAATCACCTTTATCTGTGTGAAATGGTGGAGAACTGCCCCTTCTTTAATACTGCTAATCAGGTCAGAGTCAGTGTCACCTGCTGTCCCAAAACTCTGATCTTTTTGCAAGCTAAAAGCTTCATCAAATATTCGTAGTCTCCACATTTTCCCATTACCAGTCTCTGCAGGAGCCAGTGGGAGGCACACAAACGTCCCAGATGCATCAAAGATTCAGTAGCAGCATAAGATAAATGACATTTAATATGGAATATCTGAGTGCAGAGATGTGGCTCTGAGAACAGGGCAGGCAGAGAGGGTACAGGCAGGGGGAGGCACACCGTGGCTGTGTCCTCTAAAGGCACAGTGCTGCCTACCCCGGGGTGGGGGCCATTTCCCCAGGGAAACTGTCCATGCAGTGTTATTCCCCCTCTGTGACCCTTTGCTCCTTGGCTGTCCCAGAGCATCACTCGCAAGCGGCGATACGTGGCCACAGTGTCCCTGCACGACCGGATCTACGTGATCGGCGGCTACGACGGGCGCTCGCGCCTCAGCTCCGTGGAGTGCCTGGACTACACATCGGATGAGGATGGGATCTGGTACTCTGTGGCCCCCATGAACGTCCGCCGAGGGCTGGCAGGAGCCACCACCCTTGGAGGTATGTCCTGGTCCCTGCCAGGGCAACACAGCCTTTTCTCACCCTGAGCTGCTGTTTGCAGCGTGGGCTGGTGCCGGGGGAGGAGGGGAGCTGTGATTGTGCCTTCTCATCACTGGGATGCAGAAATGGAAAGCTTGCCCACATATCCTGAGAGGAGCTCTGCCTCCACTGCCTTCCTACGGCATCTGTGCATCCAAGGAAAGGGGCTCTGTGAGGGATTACAGAGTGGGAAGTTCTCAGGGTGGTGACAGTGGTGGGTAATACTGAGCACAGGGCACCCGTTACAGCACTGGAGAGACTGGGGCATGTACAGGGAAGGACTGAGGACTTTGGGGTGTGTGACATGAGACTGGTGATGGGCAGGGTTTGGGTTTGGCCATGGAGGTGTTTCAGTGGTTCTGCAGCACAAAAGAAATACCAGGGTGTGCATGTTCTTCATCCAACAGCAAGTAGCAGATTTAAGGGCCAGATGGGTTTGTGTGTGTTTGTTGGGCCTGTGAGCAGTGAGCCAGGGGAGGAGCCTGGGTTTGTCTTAGCTCCCAGTGCCAAGCTCTGGTGGTGGTGTGTGGTTTGCAGCCCGTGTTGTAGTTGTGCTCCATCTGTGAGGGCCCTTGTGCTCCATGTGCATGGCTGATGTTTGACTCTGGGTCTCACCTTTGTCACTGCAGACATGATCTACGTCTCAGGAGGGTTCGATGGGAGTCGTCGTCACACCAGTATGGAGCGCTATGACCCCAACATTGACCAGTGGAGTATGCTGGGAGACATGCAGACAGCACGGGAGGGAGCAGGGCTTGTGGTGGCCAATGGAGTGATCTACTGCCTCGGTAGGTGTCCTCAGGACCTCTGGGAGCTCTTCAAATCCCAGTGTTTTACAGAAATGCCTGTGCAGGTGCCACCTGGGGAGCACCAACCTGTCACATCCAGGTTAACAAAGGTTTGACCCCTCTGCCCTGGGCACTCACAGCTGTGCCAATGGGTACTGCCTGTTTTCACTGTCCCCATTGCAATGACTTTGACTGGAGCTGCCATATCATTGCAGGAAATGCTGCAAGGGGCAAATTATACACAGTTCACTGGCACAGGTTGCCCAGGGAGGCTGTGGCTGCCCCAACCGTGGCAGTGTTCAAAACCAGGTTGGATAAAGCATTGAGCAACCTGCTCTGGTGGGAGGTGTCCCTGCCCAGGGCAGGGAGTTGGAGCTGGATGATCTCCAAGGTCCGTTACAGACCCTTAACACACTATGAAACTATGAGACAATTCACACACACTGCTTTTGAGGGACAGCTGAAGTGTGGAGGATGAGCAGTGCCAGCTGAGGCTTGCATGGCCTGGGCAGTGGCTAAATGCCCAGAGAAGAAGCAGGTAGCCCCAGAACAGAGGGTGCACCTGCACCACACAAAGCAGCGGTGGCTGTAGTGCTCCGGAAATGTGTCCTGAGCTGTGTGTTCTCCAGCTCCTTTCTGTAGCACTTGTTGCAGTTTGAGCCCCACACCAGCTGTGATAGAGTGAGAGTACCAAAGGGCAAAGCACTCTGGAGCGTGTTCTGTAGGTCATCTTCTGGGCCCCAGAAAAGGCAGGGCCAGCACTGCACCCACATCTGTTGCAGCCCTGTTCCTGGGGAGTCACAGATATTGCACACTGGTTTCATAGAATCCCAGACTGGTCTGGGTTGGAATGAACCTTAAAGATCATCCAGTTCCATCCCCTGTCATGGGCAAGGACACCTTCCACCGGCCCAGGTTGTGCCAAGCCCTGTCCAGCCTGGCTTGAACACTGCCACAAACCAACCTGGTTTATGGTTTCACTTTCCCCTCCCAAATTCCTTTTCCTCACTCTGTCCCTGAGGCAGCTGGCAGCGCAGTGCTCCTTTGGTGAAGCTGCACAATGAGATTTCTTGGAATCCTCTTGTGAAACATCTTTTGAGACATCCCAGCCTGTCCTGCAGCCTCCTGCAGCTGTGGCTGCAGCACAGACCTGAGCCAACACAGCTGCACATCAGCACATCTGCAGGGCAGTGTCAGCAGTGGCCTCAGTGTGCCCAGAGGCAGCTCAGGGCAGCATGAGGCTGGCCTGGTGCTGGTTTGGGGAGGTGATGCTCTCCCATATGTCCCAGGAGCAGAGCTGGCTCTGGACTAGCTGCAGAATCCTCTGTCCCACCACCTGTGGATGAGCTGTGTTGGTGGCAGTGCCACACTGTGTGCAGGGTGATCCAGGCCTGTTACTGCTCTCTACACAGCAAACATTCTCCAGAAGCCAAGCCCATGGTTTGCTCCTGTGTTGTGTTCCAGGTGGCTATGATGGGCTGAACATCCTGAATTCTGTGGAGAGGTATGACCCCCACACTGGTCACTGGACAAATGTCACCCCAATGGCCACCAAGCGCTCAGGTAAGAGCCACAGTGCCTTGAGGTCAGTGTGTTTCCTGCTGCACGGAGTGGTCACTGCTGGTGTGTTCTGCTGCCCTGGAGGATGCTCTGGCCCCACTGGGTGGTTTGGCTGCGAGAAAGAATGATTTCAGGATACACTAGCTTGAATCCCCAAGAGAAATATTCACATCCCTGATGTCCCCATCTCATGCTGGGGTGTGTATAGAGGAATGTGGGCAGGTTACAAGGAGGGAGAGGAAGTCCTATGTGACTTCCAAAACTAGCTACAGTGCTCAGCTTGGAGAAGAGCTGGCAAGACACAAACTATAGAGCAGAGAGAGTTGGCTAAGTCAGTGCTTGTCATCTGCACAGGACACAGCGAGGGCAGGTGTGCCCTGTCCAGCTGCTCCTCCACTGCACTCTGATCTGCAGGGCCTCAGCTTCTGGGGCAGCAGGAACACAGAGCAGCACTGCCAGAGCAGTGTCACCCTGCAGTGCTCTTGAAAGGACTTGAAACGTGGTGCAGTCACACGTTAATTATCCCCCACCAGCTCTTGGCTTGTCTCCTGCTTGGAGCTCTAAATGAGGTTTGAGGTAGCAGCTCTATCTAGGAGGAGAATATAGTTTAAATCCTACTTTTGGAGTAACTTGCTGCCTCAGCCCTCCTTCATTTCTCATAGGAATTCCTGTGGGGCCCCTGTGTGCAGAGGTGTTGGCTCTGTTCCCCAGGCCCCCTGCCTTGCCCTTCAGTCCAAGCAGCCATGTGGGCACAGGCAGGGTGCTCAGTGCCTGCACAGCTGAGTGGGTCCAGTGAGGCAGTTCTGTCCTTACAGACCCTCTTTCAAAACCCTTTTGAAGTTACTTATTCTCTGCTTCTTTCAGTAACTGCCCCTCAGAGTGAGCCTGGGCAGCACTGCTCCGTGTGATCCCTGGGCAGTGTTCCTGGTGAGGAACAAGGGCTGAGGGCTCATTAAAACTGGTTTCTGTTCCAAAAACATTTCAGCTCTCTTGTGCCTGCAGTGGCATTCACCAAACCCCCAAGCTTTAAATATTTACTCCTGTGACAGGGCTATTCCTGTGAAGTGTGGGTTGGAAAGCATTTCCCATCTGCTGAGAATGGTTTGATTTAGGAGGTGGATGCTTTCCACACCAGGAAGACTCCACATAAAACACAGGATAAAATCTGCAGGTTTTCCTGTCAGAGGCACTGTGTGAGACTGATCCATGGATCCCTAGGAAGCTTGAGAATGAGATGATTTCCCCAAGGGCTCTGCTGTGGGCACCAGAGAAGATGGCTTTGGGCAAGACCAGAAGCAGAATTCAAGGGAGAAGCCTTCTACAATAGGCATTTCCCAGGTGTTTGCTCTTTTCCCACAGGCCTTGGAGGCTTTGGTAGCAGTGCCTCAGCCTTCAAAGAGAGCAAGCAGGCATGTGGTGAGGCACTTGGCCCTGGCGGTGGCTCAGCTGATTCTGTCCTCAGCGCTGTGACCTGGAGCAGCAGGGTGTGCCCAAAGACCTTTTTTAGCTCAGGCTTTTGTGCTGCCACTCTGGTACCAGCAGCTCAGGTACTAGTTGCACTTGCAGCCTCCCTCCAGGTGTCAGTTCAGTCCATCCTGGTGAACTTGGACCCTGTAGGACTTTTTTGGCCCCCCAAAAAAAGCTTTCTAGAGTTGTCTGTGTGTGGGTCTTCAGATTCCAAGGCAAGGACTAAAAGCAGTGTTGGCTTTATTCACAGAGATTGTTTCCTCCTTGTTTCTCTTCAGCTCTTAGGACAGATTCTGGTGGGAGGCCACCCCTTAGAGACCTTGGCCTTACTGCATTGCTGGACCCAGCTTCCCTGATGAGGTCTTGGTCTGGCCTTCTCAGCCAGAATCTTCCTCACCAAAGCTCCCAGAGTCCCCAGTGGGACAGCCTGGCCATTCCCAGCTGTTCCAGTGCTCTCAGCAAGGACAGACAGGGAGAGTGAGGGTGCACTTAGTGGGACAGGAAGTCTCTTTGTCTCAGGAAACTCTTATACCCTGTATGTAGAAGAAACAGAGCTGTGCCAAAGAGCTGCAGGGCAGCTGGTTTGTTTCCTTGGGATATTTATCAGTGCAACAGTTTCATGTTGGTGGGACACCCTAGCAGGGCTGACTGTGCCCCAAGGTGCAGCTCAGAATGGTCGTGGTGGTGGCCACCCAAAGCCACCAAGTGTATTGTTGCCTCACTGTGTCCTTCAGTGCTTTACCT